CGGCCGGAGACTGGGTCTGGACCATGTTTACGACCGTGCGTCATACAATGTTTCTTAGAAGATATTATTTGGTAAAGATAATAATAATTGAAAATCTCATTTTTGTATGATTTTTACATTAAATAATATAAAGAAATACTTTATTTACAACCATATACACAGGAACTATCTTCTTCTTCTTCAAGTACCGTCTCCTAACGGAGGTTGGCAATCATCATGGCTATTTTATTTTATTTGCGTTCCATCTAATAAAAATATAATATACAGGGTGTTTCATTAAAAAAAAATAAAGAAAAATTATTTTATATTTTATAAATTTTAGAGTAGAATTTTGAACACTCTGTATGATTTAAGATTACGATATTTATAGCAAAGTTAAGCATAGACCATCTAAAGTAAATACCTAATATAGTTTTGATTTCAGGACAGTTCTATAGTATTTGTAAGATTTTTTTAACGAAGGTTAAAAATTATATATTTTTTATTTACAGTGCAATCGCGATAATATGAACACTAAAAATTTTAGGTTGTTCATACTAACGGTATGTTCATATTATTGAAGGTAGTAAAAATACATAATAAAATACGGATTAATATTTTAAAAATCGTTTAATCGTACATCAAAATCAAGTGCTTAATATCTATGTACATTACATGAAACTAATTATTAGTTCCAAAATATGAAGTTATTTTTGACTGAGTTTGTTTGGCCGGAATGTTAGCAAAAACTGCTTTTTCAAGAATGTTTGTAAATGAGTTGTAATATCCGATAAATTTATTGCGTTTTGTTTAGCCCATTCTAATGATACTGTAAGGGCCTGGACTGCTTCGCTATGTTTAATTGTAATTATTGGCTGTTCCTCGATTTCAATGTCACTCTCATTTGGATCCATATTTTCAGCTTCTTCCAGGCTCGCTTCTTCTATCACTGAATCCTTGTTCCATTCTTCAATGTCTACAGCCCGTGTATTCCACCTGTTAAAACGTTTAAAAATTACTACATAATATGTATTAATTTATATTATAGTTAATGACCTAGCGCTTACTTTAGATAAAACCGGTTTTAAACAAAATGTACAAATGCAAAACTTACAGGCCCTATAGCGCCTAAAAGTGCTATTGTGTCTCTTATTGGGTCGGCAGCTCGTTCTTCAATTAGCTGTTGTCTATGCGTGATAGAGGCAAGTCGTCCTCATCTAATGCATTCGTAAAGTCAAGAATGTTTCGCCAACATTTTGAGATCATGTCTGGGTTTAGTTTTTTCCATGGGGCCATTAAATGGATCACTGCATCCCTTAACGTAGTTTTCTTAAGTGCTTCACCTACAGTGTCATTTCCAGTAATAATGGAACTAAGAAGACTGTTCCTATAAAAAAGCTTGGTAAGCCTAAGCATATTCTGATCCATTGGCTGAATAAGTGGTGTAACGTTCGGAAGCATGAACATTACAAAGATCATACCATCACTAGATTTTAAATCTGCTACCGGTGGATGAGACGGAGCGTTATCCAAAAGAAGTACCGCCGTTTCTGGTAGATTTTGAGATCTCAGAAAACTTTTAACCTAAAAAACCGTTAGTGCAATAAAGTTAGAAATTAGAGGAGAATATTTTTATGCTTACCTCTGGAACAAATTGCTGAAAAAAACAGTTTTTAAAAAGTTCACCAGTCATCCAGGCGTTCTTAGTGTGCCGGTACACCAAGGGATTATGAAAGTTTTTGATTTTGATTGATCTCGGATTTTTTGCAGTTTCGATAAGTAATGGTTTTATTTTATACGACCCTGAGGCATTGGCGCATCCCAAAAATGTAACTCTTCGTTTGGATATTTTGAGTCCAGGCGCAGTTTTTTAGGTTAGTGATACATATGTTTTATCAGGTAACAATTGCCAATATAACCCAGTTTCATCAGCATTGTACAACTGGTGCTCATTTAATTCATATTTTTCAATCACCATTTTTAGTTTTTCTTTAAATGGATTAATAAGTTCTAGCTGACTTGACAGTTTTTCTCCGGTTATTTTTAAAAATCTTACCCCATACCATTCTTTAAACCGTTGCAACCACCCATCACTTGCTTTAAAGCTGCTAACGTTTAAACTGGAACTTAAACTCAAAGCTTTTTGCCTTATCATCTCTCCAGAAACTGGCATATTTCTCTCCCGTTGTGCAAGGAACCATTTATAAAGCAGTTTTTCCATTTCCGGAAGTTCTCCATTTTTTAATGTGCATTTTTTTGTTAATTTAGACGCACAACTTGCAACTCTTTCGACAATTCCTCTTTTTTTGTTTTTAATTAAACACACTATTGATTTGCCAATACCGTACTTTTTTGCCAAAAGCGTCACGCCTAACCCTTTATCAACATCTTCTAAAAGTTTCGCTTTCTCATGAAGAGAGAGACATTTTGATTTGCCTTTCACTTTAACCATTTTAAATTATTACAGTTAAAGAGTTATTAAACACTTTATAGACTCTGTTTAGGAAACTAGCTGCGTTCACCTCTGTTACATAAATAACAATTTGAACCTCTCTAACATACACAAAATAGGAAAAAAACAAGATCTCACAAGTTGTTCATATTACCGAGATTTCAGGCTGTTCATACTATAGAGTAGTCAATGAACATGACATATACACAGCTCAGGATCTCTACTGCTAGAAATCAACAGAAGAATTAAGTTAGCATGGAGTACTTAATTATGGAAGAAACTCAATCATATTCAAATCTAGAATGCCACTTTATCTAAAGAAGAAAACATTCGACCAATGTGTACGACCAGTCATAACCTATGCATGCAAAACCTGGACAATTAAAACGGACATCATAAAGAAACTTCAGGTGACACAACGCTCGATGAAACGAACTATGCTGGGAATAACCAAGATACCGTAAAAGAATAGAGTGGATACGACAAAAGATCCAGATATTAGATGTCATCCACAGAATCAAATCCCTCAAATGGCAATGAGCAGGACGCCTGGCAAGAAGAACGGACAACAGATGTACCACAAAAATTAAAGCATGGTACCCACGAGAAATTAAGAGACCTAGAAGAAGATCGAACCTGAATAGACAACAATGGGCCTAACTACAAAGAGAGTATCTAAAAATGTGAGGGAGGCTATACTATAATTGGTTAAATAAACTGAAAATGATGATGATGAATCATATTGGGATATTTATATTCGATATTATTCAAAGTACTTACATTGAATAATAAAAAATATGTATGAATACTTCTTGATAAATTGATTTTAATTAAAAAAATTGAATTAAGAGGTTTTCTTGTTTATAATTTATGCATTAAGCTTAATCAAAAGTAATATGAAAATTTGAATATTAAATGTCTTCTACAAGATAAGTATGTTTATATCCATATAAAATATCCCACCAGATTGATTACTTTCAGAAAAAGTGAGAATCTTAATAGATTTCAATATAATAGTAATTGATCAGCAAAAAGCTTAATGATCCAAGGTAATATTGAATATTCGAATACTAATATTCAATTCTGAAACAAGTGGTTTATATCAGATGATTTTTTTTATTTAATTTTATATTCGTTTTAATTAAATCGGTAATAGGTAGTTTTCAGTTATCTTAAACGGTTTTATATTTTGAATTTATTATGTAATTTAGTTATAGGCAGTGATGGACAAACAACCAGTATATTGAAATTTGGGTAAATAAGCAAGGTCTTGCACCCGGTATATACAGAATATATTGAATTTAGGTAAATACCATTATACCCGGTACATACCCAAGATATACTTACTTCATTAATTTAAGGTACTCGAAAAAATCAGGGTCAGAAAACCACTAGTTAGTCAAAGAACGTACAGAAGAGTGCACAACAGCCAATAAATTATACCAAAAACACGACAGCAAAATGCTGACGGTGCAATTTAGGTAAATACCCTAATTTAATAAGAATACCCATTCCAGGAATATACTATAGTATGTATACAACATTCCCCAATGTTTGGTTTGGTATATAACCCTACACCTTGTCGGTATATGTATACCCAAATTTTATTTCCCGTTGGGTATTTACCCACCGCTCATCACTGGTTATAGGACATTCATATTTGACAATTATCTACCTATAGCTATACGTCTCTTTCGTCATTACAAGCAGTAAACACACTAAATCCAGTAAACCATTGGAGTGAACACCATCCAATAGTAACGAGTAAGGCCGAATAGCTTAAAGCGTGACGTCATCAACTAAAGGCCAAGGGCAAAACTTTATAATACACTGGATATACCGTATGATCGAATAAAAACGGCGTCAGCGATGGCTATAAAATGAAGATCGCTGTCATTTTATATGTAAAATTATATTGGAAATGTCATTTCCAAGCCAACTGGACGCCGTTTTTTTTCGATCATACGGTATTTAATATACTAGCCCTGGTCACTTCATCTGCGTGGTCTGTATTTTAATGCATGCGACAGAGATAAATATAAATGACCGGTTAACAGACAGAGAGACAAAATAAAAAGCGGCATATAGTGTTGCCGGTTTTTACGTTTGTAGGAAAATGTGTGTAGAAAAAATTAACTATTTTAAAAACGTTCATGTATACTACTGAAATGAAGATAATATATCTAAGCTAAATATAATCTATTACAGCTGTAGTAAAATGAGTAACTAATTGTGAAAAATTCTCTTTTTAATACATTTGATTTTTCATTAAGCTGTCGACATCACTGTCTTACACGTCAAAATGCATACCACGCAGTTGCGATGACCAGATCGGTACAGGTACAATATGATCGAAAAAAAAACGGCGTCAGCGATGGATATGAGATAAAGATCGTTATCATTTTATATGTAAAATTATATGGGGAATGTCATCGAAAAGCTGGAGAAAATTTAGGGAAAAGTAAATAAAACATAATTATTTTAATACTTAGTATGTATATTTTAAAAATATTTAATATTATATACAAATTTTCATAACAAATACATAAGTAAAACAAAAACAAACCCATCCTTATTTCACAGATATCGATATAATCCTGATATCATCGTACGGCTTATCAGTTTTCGCATTAGTCTTCACATTACTGATATTCTGTACCACCTCCATACCCTTCACCACCCTACCGAAAATGGTGTGCTTATTATCCAGCCAGGGTGTCGGAGTGACAGTTATGAAGAACTGGCTGCCGTTGGTGTTGGGTCCGGCGTTGGCCATCGACACCGTGTAGGGCCTGTCGTGCCTCAAATGGGGCCTAAGTTCATCCTCAAACTCGCCGCCCCATATGCTTTCACCACCGGTACCATTACCCGTTGGGTCACCGGTTTGTATCATGAAACCTTTGATTACTCTAGAAAAAGAATAATAATAATTAATGAACAATTAGCATATATTTTTAAATTACTTAACTAATATTTGAATGTCATCATATCTTTTCAAAATTTCTAAAAATATACTAGGTAATTGACTGATTGATGAACAGATTTTAATCGTGCAAACACGCCCACATAGCCACGTGACCGAAAACGGAGCGTTCCAAACTGTGACGTCAGCTCGCGGACACCCTCTGCCGTTTTGATGCAGTTAAGCGGCTAATGAGTGAATTTCTATTGCATTTTAATTTGTTTTTCTTGTTGATTTGTGTGGTAGTTGAAAGGGTTAGAACAATATGAAACCGTTGTTTTGTAATTATTCAAATAGTTTTGGTGTCCTCATATACACATATTCTTTTAATAAAATTATATAAGGATTCTTGCCACTTAACTGCTGATATAGAAATTTAATTCTATGCTGTGTTTGTCATAATATGCATCAACCTGCTCTCACTACCGATTTCGGAGCCCTACTCCTTCATCAGGTGAGCTTGGGCAGATCCACAAAATTACAACTACAGCGCAGAGATAGTTAATTCCGACTTGTCGGAAAGTGTCGGTTAGATATTAAGTCCCGAACGTGAGATAGCGGCCTGCGTGCAATGGTAGTACTTTCGTACCAAGAACAGTTAACCTAAATAGGACTGCTCATTCGGCCAAAAGTGTCCGCCAGGTGCATGCAAAAACTACTCGCTTTGTGACGTCATTGTAGCCCTTGTCATAGTTATTAGTCCTTATCCGGCAACCAATAATACACACGTGCATTATTGGTTACCGAATGCAAAACGCTCATTATTTAGTTTATTTATTTAAACACCTTATATGTATGCAGTAAAGAAAATTAACTGTATAAATCGTATTAAATACTCGGATAATGCATTTTTAAGAACAGCAGGTCCCAGCATCACCTTTTGCAAGCATTCTTTGTAGAGTACTTCCATATTTTGCTTTAAAATAATTAATAAACAAAATCGTGGGCACTTAGTATGCACTTTGCCACAAATCCACAACACAAAATGAACGTATTTATACACTCTATAGCTCTAAAAACTTTAAAGACACCTTTTTCACATTTAAAATTGACAAAATAATTAACTCAAAATTTCTCAGCTGTTATTTTTATAAGTTTACCATAGGCAACTAATAATACACACTATCATGACAAGGTTACGAAGGCTTTGACAAGGGCTACAATGACGTCACAACTGTTAGCTGAAGCGCGGGAAGAGGCGAACGTATCGTCTTATGAAGTTCCCGTTCTCAGAACTGCGACAAAAGAACCAATCAGATTTGTGCAAAAATTCAAACAGCTGTCAATTTTAAATTTAGTACAGCTCCCATTGGTCGTTTGAAGTGTCAATCAGTGTCGCTGTCGACACGACGCAGTTCTGAGACCCGGGGCATGAGGATGAGCAATCCTATTAGTTTATCGTTCTTGCTTTCGTACCTACCGAGGCGTTGTTTTTTATTTCATATTCTTTTATATATATATAGTATATATATATATATATATATATATAATATATATATATATATATATATATATATATATATATATATATATATATATGGGTATCCTCAAAAATCAATTTCATTTAAAAAACTCAACTGGTATGCTATGAAAAAAGAATTGTTTAAATTTATCTTATTATAATATATTATTTTTCCTGCTTGTATTTATGTATGTCGAAAATAGAAGACAATTACAGACATACGTATGGCTGGACTAGGATAAAGTAATATAAAGGATGGCCCAGTGTTCTAAAATACTCAATAATGTGAAGTTTTCCATTTAAGATTTCTATAATCCAATCTTTTTCATACACTCCACACTAGTAAACTGTGTTTACCATGTTCTTAAGTACAAGGACCCACATAACTCTATCAATAATATGTAAGTACTTATCACAACAAATAATAAATTAATAATAAATGTCATCCTATATTGAAAAATCATGAAAAAATCTCAGTTATTAAATAACCACTGAATTAATTTGTATAATTATAGTATTTCTTATAAAATAATCAAAGTATTTCTCATATTAAAATATATTTTTTACAATATATCAGAATTATTTTAATGTGTAAAACAATAAAATAGTACATACCTATGAAATATATGCCCATTATAATATCCATTCTTACTATGCACACAGAAATTCTCTACAGATTTTGGACAATCTTTCATAAACAGTTTTATATGAATATCACCAAACACAGTGTGTATAATAGCATTCTCGTACAGCCTTTGAACAGCAGGGTTTTCTGTAGCAGCCATTGTATCTTCTTTGGATGGTTTCTCATTAAACACATCCCTAAAAAAATTATAAATAAATTTATACATATTATAAGAAAAGTTAACCAATTTACCTGTCTTGATCACCTTGTAAGTCATCTGGTTCCCTACGACTGAACAGATAAAATCTAGACTTTTTGTAAGCTGTACAAATTAATGTGGGATCTGGTTGTATAGATTCTAAAGTTGGGTTACTGGAAGCTTCAATTTCTAATGTTACAGCTGCTTTTGATCGTTTAGCTGAACCTAAAATATATATATTTTAATGAAACATTTCTTCTAATATCTCTGTAAAACATTGAATTTATACCTTGATACAATCCAATATTCAAAACCCTCAAATTTTCATTTTTTCCTATTATTTTAACAAGTTTATTACTATATAAATTAATAAGCTTAATGCCTAATAACGTGGCATACATTATAAAATTCCCGCTATGATCAAATATAACATTGGCTAAATGAAACGCTTCTGATTTTTCCAAATCTCTCTCCACAGCCATACGTCTGCCAAACTCCATATTAGGTAACTGCTGAGTTTTTTGTTGCAATTCAGTAAATCTAGGCAAAGTCTCATCATATACTCTTGTGAGTTTCCCAGTCAAAAAATTAAAAACTCTAACTCTTCGATCAGTAGATATTGTAGCAAATTTTTTGCCATCCGATGAAAATGTTAAAGATGTGGGCTGTGTTTTATTTTTAGCAAATTCAAACAAGTCAGTATCAAGCTTTGACCCAAAATGTATGTTTCTAGGAAATACGAAGTCTTGTTTAATTCCTGTCCAGTATTCTGAAACAGAAATTTTTAAAAATAATAACAGAACATTTATTTGTGGAAACTTACCAAGCATATTATTTTTATCTACAGAAACCGCAACATCGTATTTTGGATTATACCTAATAAGACTTACAGGGTGAAAATGTAATTTTTCTAATATTTTTAAAGGTGTATTTGTACTTCTACCGTCATAAACATAAATTTTTGGACTTTCTAGATCTGATACTGCCAGAGTTTGTATGGCATCTCCAGACCCATGTATCCACTCCACAGTATTTGGAATGTAATCCAGTTTCATCATGTTAATCATATCAAAATTAACAACATCAAAAATCTTTAACGATTTATCTAAACTAGCTGAACACAACAAATTTCCAGCACTGTTAGCTGTTATTCTCGTTATAGGCCCCAAATGACTTCGAAAATGTTTGACGAATTCTATCCCAGATTCGACTTTTTTCCAAAACTTAATGTGTCCATCACAACTCGCTGTGATGATAAAATCCGTTGGGGTTACTACACAGTGTGTAATAGTGTCCCTGTGCATGTAACTCTTTTCATAAGACTCTGCACATGGTAAGTTTTCCAAATAAAGGCTTTCAAAGGGTAACCGTTTCTTTTTCTTGGGCTGTGCAGCTTCTGCAAGGGATGGACCTACAAAATCGTCAGGTTCTGAATTACTATCACTTTCATGGGAACGTTTTTCCGCCCTGTTTGGACTTTCTTCTCGGGAATCACTCATTTTTGATTAATTTTTATTAGAAAATAGTTTTAGAGACACAATATTACTGTTTCAATGTTGAAATTTGTAGCTATAAAAAGTTGGGTTATGATATTAAAAACAATCCGTCAAAACAGGTTAATTTAAGCCGCATGGTTATGCAACCAGTTATTTCATCAGGAAAATTATTTTATAACTTCGTGAAATATTATAATTTTTTATTGTTGTGATATTCTTTAAACACGAGTTTCCAATTTGTTGTTCTGCAATTATAATATATAGGTATAAATTTCAAGTAAAAATTCAAGTACGATAAAAATTACTTGTCGAAATCATATTCGCCCAGTATATGAAACCACAGAGTAAAAATGGATAATTTGGACAATCAAGTTGGACAACAAAATAAAACAAAATGTTTGTTTACTTTTTATGAAGTATTTAAAATTTAAATAGTATTTTGAGGTTATAAAATTGTCAAAATAATATGGATAGCAAGGAAAGTCTCTCCGAAAATGTTAAAAAACTGCAAATAGATGATGATGATGATGATAATGATGATACTTCAAATAATTCTAGTTCATCTTCGAATTTAAGCGATTCTTCGAGCGAAGAAGAAGGTAACTAATTCAAAACAACTTTAATTAAAACAGATGAAAATACGTATTTATTTCAGATGCCTTGCCAAATTTTAATGTTGCGATGTGGGACTTTAATCAATGCGATCCAAGAAAATGTTCCGGCAGAAAACTTTCCCGTTTGAAACTAATCAAAACGCTCAAAATAAAACAACGGTTTCCCGGTCTGGTACTAACTCCAACAGGTGAAAAATGTGTTAGCCCAGCTGATAGAGAGATTGTTACTAAAAAAGGTATAGCTGTAGTCGACTGTTCGTGGGCTAGGATAGACGAGACACCCTTAGCAGCCTTGAAACCAGCACATGGAAGACTTTTACCATTTCTGGTTGCAGCAAATCCTATAAATTATGGAAAGCCTTTACAACTTAGTTGTGTCGAAGCTATTGCTGCTACAATGTATATTACAGGATATAAGAAAGAGGCAAAGTTTTATTTGGACAAGTTCTCTTGGGGTCACTCGTTTTTAGATTTAAACGAAGAAATATTAGAGATATACTCTAAATGCTCAGACAGTAAAGATGTTATTGTTGAACAAACTAAATATATTGAAAAGGAACAAAAGTTACAAGAGGATAGGCATAGTATGCATTTTTTTTATTTTAAAGTGTATTTTGAGAATGAATCATTTTAAAGAATACTATACAGGGTGTTTCAAAAAACATGTGCCATCTCTTGTGGGGAGATTCCTCATGTAAAAATAAAATTTATTTTTCATATCAACATAGGTCCGATTCTGCTTTGTTTCCTGGCTACAGGGTGTAAAGTCTTAATTTTCTTTTGATTTATTGTAATTTTCTTCCAAGTACTTTTTGAGAATCCAATGAAATTTTGAGGGTAAAAGTTACTATAAATGCGACATATTTTAATACTAAAAAAGTGTCGTGATATTCACCAGGGACGTGCATATGTGTAAACACTAGAATATTTTTCTAAAAAAATCATGTACGCCACTGACTTTTTCATTTGTTTGAGAAATGGTGTAAGTTGTTTAATGTCAATTGAAAATTGTCTCTTGATATTTTGTCGATTTCGTCCTCCTTGATGAAACAAACGCAATTTTATTAATTTGCTTTGATCCAAGTCAATTTGTAACCCTTAAAAATTTTTAATATCATTAACTTGCGAAAGTTTTAAATAAGTACTAGTTGATTCCTCATCAAAAAATATGAAAAAAAGTTCCCATAAATACACATAGTTTTAAAACTACAGGATGTTCAAACTTTTTAAAATTAGGTTTTTTGTATCCAAAAAAATCCTTATGGGTTTTTCGCCACTGCACTGCAAGAAAAATCTACAAAATAAAATAGTTATTTTTTGTAAACACTTCTGCGTTAAACCTAAACGGACGCTGTTTGTCAGAAGTTGTGTTTACAGTAATAAAAATTTGCCTAACAAAGAAAAAAATGCTTAACGTTTCGGAAAGTTTTCTCTTTCCGTCGTCGGAAGCAAAAAAAATATAAGGAATCAAGAAAAAAACTATTTATAATATTTAAATTGAACTATTCGAGAACACTTTACTTTTTAAAATAGATACGTCTACAAGAAATCGTTGACGTATTATATTATTTTATTATTTCCATTATTTTTTTTATTTGGATGTGCTGTAGGTTAGACTAATATGCGTAGTAATAATATTTAATAATAAATTAGATAAAATAAATAATTTATTAATTTTATTTTTAATTTAATTTTATTAATTGTGATTAATAATATTGCATCAAATCTCATCAAGGAGATCGAAATCGACAAAATATCGAGATAAAAGAAAAAAAGTCAGTTGCGTACATGTTTTTTTTAGAAAAATATTCCACTGATAACCCATATGCACGTCCCTGATGAATTGACACTTATAAGTAACTTTTGCACTAAAAACACTTGGAAGAAAATTATAATAAATAACAAAAATCAGATTTTAATCCCTTGTAGATAGGAAATGAAAAATAAATCTTATTTTTACGCGAGGAATCTCCCCACGAGACACATGGCACATGTTTTTTGAAACACCCTGTATTTATTAGTACTATTTTGTTTTTCAGATATTTGTGACTTTCCATCAAGTTCAGATAGCGATAGTGAGGACTAAAAGACGAGTATTTTTTTTTATAAAACTTTACTGAAATTATATTTTATATGTGTATAAAAGAATTAATTAAAATGTTAAGTTAAAAGTATACAATAAAAGTAAATCTTAATTAAATAATTACAGTAGGTAGATATATCTCAAAAGTCTCACATTTTAAAAGAGACTCAATTTATAAAACTTAAAATTAAAATCTATTAAAATTATACCCGAGCACAACATATTAGAGACGCATATAAAACACATAAACTTAATAAAAGCTGGTCATTCTATGTTTTCGTTGCACTAACTTCTTCCAATGTTAAATGAGCAATGAACCGAAGTCTAAGTTGTAGAGGGGCTCTTAGTTTTCTCACTATAGTCTCGATCTCTTTTTTCATACTATCTCCCACAAACATGTACTTTATATGGTATAATAGATCACAGATTGGGTCCATGTATTTCAGTTCAGGCTGACTGGCATCTACTTGAGCCAACAGTTCATAAATTGAGGTTGTCAGCTGTACTAGAGCCATATTTACCACCCTGGAACAGAAATTAATATCTATAAGTTTCTTTAAATTAATAGAAAGTCTAAAAATACCTTTGTAAAAATGGTCCTACTAAGTGACAAACAAATAGAAACTGTTCTTCAGTCTTTACAACAGGCGGTAGGCATTCTCCCACCCATCTGGGGACGCTAGCTATTTGACCAGGTCCGGCATGGTGCCACACTGAATGAGCCAATGCCAACATATAGCTAAATCTGTTATGTAACAGTCCCGAATGTGTCTCCTGTAAATTAGAAAAAAAAAACAGAATTTTCACTCCAACTCACTATAAGTTCATGTATTTCGACAGTTCGTCTAAGCCATAGTCACTATAAGTTAATATGTCGATGCAATCGACCATATACAGGGTGTCCTAGGCTGAGCGTGCATTAGAAGTTTCTAGAGAACTACAATATCTAGATCGGAGTTTTTATGCACATCATTGTTTTACAATGAGATCTACTGATTAAAAATATTTTCAATATGGCGGCACTTCCGGAAATACCAGAAGTTGACAGCACCTTTCTTATTTTAAATGGATACCCCCGTTTTTATTACATACTTGAATTATCTGTAAAATTCTATGGATTTTGATATTAAACACTCTCTACCTAACATTAACCGTCTTTGAGAAAAAATCTTATTTAAAATTTTTGGACGAAAAAACTGCCTGTCAAAAAAATGTGTATAGTCTAAACGTCAAATTTAATGATTACCACTAGAGGTGTGTAGTTCGTGAACGAACTAGTTCCAATGAACTATTCCGACCCCGGAATGAAAGGAACTAGTTCCTGGTTTCTCAAAGAACTAGTTCCTCAGGAGCTGTTCCGGGATCGAGACTGACCGATATAGAATAATATGCGACGGCGACGGATCGGCTAGCGCGCGTAGCCCGATGGTGGGCAGGAGTGGGGAGTGCCAGCCGTACGTTATTGGATCCGGACCTAGAGGAACTAAACTAAATAAAAGACTAGTTTACGTACGAACGGATCGGGCCAGCGCGATCGATGCTCGGCAGGAGTGGGTAGTGCCAGCCGTATGCCGTATGTTACCGGATCCGGACCTAAAGGAACTAGAGAAACTAAATAAAAGACTAGTTTACGTATGGATCAGCCAGCGCGATTAATGCTAGGCAGACGTGGGGAGTGCCAGCCGTATGTTATCGGATCCGGACATAGAGGAACTATTAAAAGACTAGTTCACGGGAATCTATTCAGTCGGCAGATCCGAGATATAATACAAGGCGACGACGATGGATTCGGCCTTGTCTATTGCCACAGCCGGCGCGGCGTAATTACCACAGAAAATTGTCGTGGATACTGTTTTTGATTTTTAGTTTGTTTTTTAAATATTTTATGGGAATGTTTCACTTTAGGTCCCTAAAATTAAGAAATATCTTATAAAACGAAGTAGATATTCTGAATTTTTAGACAAAAACAAAAGCTTGAAGTGAGGAAAAATGCAATTTTTCGTAAAATTTGCTCCAATTAATTTGTGATATGTAGTTTTTAAATTCTGATTTGAGTTTTTTTTTTTTTTATTTTGCAATAAAACTTACCTATATGTTTTTAACATACACAATTACACGTCTCGTTATATCTCCGTACATTATAAAAATTATACAAATCATACTGAGAATAGTTCTCACTGACAACGAAACGCATTAGCAAGCAAGTGGGATGTCAATGTTAGTCGGGAACTATTGTGAACTAAAGACCTAGTTCAATGAACTATTCGTCTGGAGGAACTAGAACTAAGAAACTAGTTCCTCCCAAGGAACTAGAATTCCCACCTCTAATTACCACAGTCACTGCGACATAAAGAGAAGACATGTGGCTATGTATTTCAAAAATTAAATTGTTCGAATGTCATGTAATATTCACCGTAACTGTCATGGAATTGAGCGATTAAAAAATTATCATAAATAATTTTTTTCAAATGGAAACCCACTTTTTTTTATTTTACTGGCGATAAGGTTTTTAATTTCGTTATTTTTTTGTTATACATGTTCCTATACTTAAAATAAATCATTTTTAAGTTATTTAAGATTTAGTTTTAAAGCGTAATTTTTCTTGATTTTAACAAGTAGCCTATGACTTTAAACGTCAAGTGATGTAAAACAATATGGCGTGACACTTCTTGGTGACACTTCTTTAAAAATCTGTTTGTCATCAATCGTCATTTTCCAGTCAACTTTGCGCCGTTTTCTTTCGATCATAAGGTATATTATTAATAATATCAACTATTAGATATCACTAAAGAGAGAACTTCCCCTAGGAGATGCAAGACCTTGTCGTTGGTGGGGAAGCTCCTGGTCAGGTGCTGGGGGGAATCCTCCCTAGCACTTGGCTTGGTCTAAGAAGCATCTCACTCATCGTCTTGTCCCTGACTGTAGTGTCGTGGGCAGGGAATTGCACCAAGATATATAACGATACCGGGCGGGGCTACGGACAGCCTCAACCTGGGGCATCGGGGGGCACCCCATTGTATTTTACCCCTTACTTCTACATGCGGGGCTCTGTAGAAGTGGACCGACCGGCCCTAGCGACTCATGGGAACACTATGAGATCTGGTAATAATAGTAATAAAAACATCACCGGTGAAGCTGTGGGGAAACCCTCTAGCAACACTGGGAACAGTAACAATGAAAGTTCCAAGGGGTCAAACCCAAAGAGAACTACAGGACAGGTGGCTGACACTTGCGTGAGACCATCCTCCGCACGTGGCATACAAGTTACCACCTCCTCCAAGGGTCGGGAGCCTACCTCCTACCTCTAAACCTAACAGGCGACACAAGCTACCGTTTCGTCTACCCGGCCTGGGTCGTAGCTCCTCGATTGTGAAGGACACGGGTCTCCGTAGGAAGTCCTGGGACTGTATGATGAGTTATAACTCAAGAAAGGGGGACACAATAGATCTCTAAGATCGCAGAGGTTAACCCCCCTCCCACATATTCTAATTCTAAATTCTAATCACTAAAGAGCGAAAATACAAGATATCTTTATAAATACATTTTATAAAGTTTTAAGCAGGCAGTATTTAAAATATGAAATTGAAATAATTAGTTTTCTGACAGAAGGAAATAAATTGTCTGATTGACACTTAATGTCAAAGGAAGAAAAATAAAATGAAGAAAAATATATTCTTTAAAACTAAATGTTAAATAACTTAAAAACGATTTATTTTAGGTAATCACTAAATTTGACGTTTAGGCTATACTACTTTTTTGACAGGCAGTTTTTTTGTTCAAAAATTTTAAATATTTTATTTCTCAAAAACGGTTACCGTTAGGTATAGAGTGTTTAATATCATAATTCATAAAATTTTACAGAGAATTTAAATATGTAATAAAAAATGGGGGTGCCCATTTAAAATAAGAAAGTTGCTGTCAACTTCCGGTATCTCCGGAAGTGCCGCGATATTGAAAATATTTTTAATCGATAGATCTCATTGTAAATAAAACGATTTGACAAGGGTTTGATCAACGCATAGTGAGTATGGGGCTTTATAAACTAAAAACGTCTTAAATACCTTAAAATTAAACATTCTGAAAGGAGAACATTCAAATGGCCAGTTATCTAACTCTGCGAGTGTTGTCAGTAATCTGTCATGTAATACACTCCAGTAAGTTATCGGTAAAGCAGATAGAATGAGTCCAATGGCGTTAACCCACTGATGGATATCATTTGATGGAATCATTACATAACCTTTAAAAAAACAGAAAATATAAATTAAATAAGTATAAGTATAAAAAAAGAAATTTACCTTTTGCAACTACATCTAAAAGTCCATTGGCTACTGCAGTAGGCCCTGCTGGTAAAGCCATAAGTTCTACACAGGTAGTGTACAAAATGTGAGCTCCAGAATTAGGGAATTCGTTGAATCTCCAGTCCGTCATTGAATTGGCGTTTGAACCGTTTAAAATTGATACTACGCGTCTAAAAATGAATATTTTGTTACTGCCATTCTAAAACCTGTTCCATGAAAACGTAACAAATAATATTCATCAAGTAAGATTCATTAGGTTGCGTTTGTGAGGGTTAGGTGAGGTTGATTAGTTGTTACAAAGCTGTTATACTCTCTTAGAGTTGGGTAAAATGTATTTCCAAATAAGTGTTGGAACTGATATTCTTACTGAAAATAACAGCTTAAAATAACAGGTTTCTGGTTAGTATTTATTGAAGTTATTGTTAAGTGTCAAAACATCAATAGGAGAGGAGTATATTTAAACAACCAATTTTACTATAACAGAACAGACATCATTGTTGGAAAAAATCATGATTTAAAAAAAAATCAGATTTTTTTTTATTTAAATCAGATTTTTTTTATTTTAATTCAAAACAATATTTAAATCGGATTTCCAAATGACTAGGGCTTATTTCCAACTAAAGTCCTATCCTAAATGGCTAAATCTTTATAATTCTGCCCGATACCGATAACATTAACAATTCTACAGCGCGTGTCATTTTTTCACATCCTTCCATCATTCCGCAAAAAAAGTCGCTCGCTTCAGATCAAAAGGATTTTTTTCAAACATCTCAAAAATATTAACTTTTGTCATTTTAACGCCTAGGCATAAAAGTAAAGCACTGTTACGCCTAAGCACAAAAGTACAAAAATATATTATTAAACTGATATTAAGTGTAAAATTCAACGAGTGTACAAATTATTGCTCGATTACTGTTCATATTATTTGCAATTTATGAAATTGATTAAAAAATTATTTGTAATGTTTTAAAAGAAATAGTATGTTCTATTGGGAGTAAAAATGTACTTTTTGTGCCTCCCTGTAACGTCGGAATAGCTTTACGATGGTCCTTCAAAGGTACAGCATCGTCAAAAAAAGTATAATTTTTACTCCTAATAATATTATATAGTACTAATAATACACTATTGTTCGGAAATAGTCTTAAGTCGAGAATGAAATTAGTATGTATTATCTAATGTCAAAGTGTAAAGTACTTACTGCAGATCAAAATGTTGGTAGGAATTTGGAAACATAATTATAACCGTTTCAAAAAAAAAATAAAACAACACATTTTCTGAGAACGATTATAGATTCTCGGGAATGAATATATAGTCTCTATATCTTTAGATATAGAGATATATATCTTCGTTATAGAAATATTTTTTCTAGATTTCTAGGACACATTTTTATAAATTTTACATATTTAAATCACATGATTAAAATTAAAAAAATCACTTGGTTTAAATCATGCCAACCCTGACAGACATCCACACAATTTGTAATTTTCTATTTAGTTATAATTATTTCAATCTATATAATCTCTAACCACAATCTTCTAACAATAAGCTGTGTTCATGAGTGAGATTCATTACTTTGCTTAGTGGTAGATTAGACGTTAAAGATTTATTCTCTTAGAGTGGACCAAAACTTATTTTTAAGTAACAACGGAACTGTTTTTGTTACTGAAAAGTAACAGTTTTAAATATCAGGTTTATGTTGTTTATTGATTTTATTGTTGAATCTCCAGTCGTTCGTCAAATTGACGCCCCCCCCCCTTGAACCGTTTAAAATCAACACTACACGTCTAAAAGAGAATATTTTTTGATACTGCCATCCTAAAACCTGTTCTGTATGAATACAACTAATAGTATTCATCAAGGGGGTTTAACTAGATTGCTTATAGAGGTTGATTATAAGTTAGCAACAGTTATATTCTCTTGGAGGTAGCCAAAATATATAGTTCTAAGTATTGATATTTAAAAATAACATGTTTCTGTTATTGATTTTGTTGTTGAATCTCTAATCAGTCAACGAATTAGCGTTTAAAGCATGTAATAGCGATAGTATACTTCTAAAGGAGACTATTTAATGTTACTGTCCTCTTCTAAAACCTATTCTATGAAATAAGAGAGATCTTAGAGGTTAATACGTGTTAGATGTTATATCTTCTCTTAGAGGTTGGCAAAACTTATTTCTAAGTAACAGTCGGAAACGGTTATTTAAAAATAACAGGTTAACATAACAGGTTAAAAGAGAGTATTTTATGTTACTGCCGTTCTAAAACTTGTTCCCTCAATCACAGGTTCAAGTTAAATCCACTTAATAAATATTGTAGTCAAAAGTGTTTGTTTTTGATAATGAATAATAAACTGGGAATGGTAACTGTCTCATTAATTCAAACATTTTTTCCACAAATTTACTTTGGCCTACAGATACCAAAATATCAGGATATAATATTAAAAACCACCCCAAAAAATACTGAATGCTAAAATATAATAGTATTCAAAAACTAGTTTACTTACTGTACAAGTTGAATATAATAATTTAACTCTGGTATCCATATATCGTCTGAATTTTTATTTAAAAACGCTTGATAAGGTTCAGAAAGGGTTTCTTTTAAGTTGCCGAGAACAGCCGCTACTAGTCTGGATAAAAAAAGAAAATAAGTAAAAACTTTTAAACACTGTTTATAACAAACTTACCTTCGCTTTAATGGCGGCCTATCTCTTAGTTTAGCCTCATAATAATGTAAAGTATTGTACACGTAGGTAACGGGCCTGTCATGGAATTTATACAAACATCCCAGTCGTTCTAACAATACTTCTAGACTTTTTTGTACTTGTTCTATTTCTATAAACCTATTATTGAAAGAAAAAAGAAATAGTATCAATATTGTAGAAATTCCGTTACAATTTTTTATACTGTATAGGCTTGGTGCATTCTCCGCCCGATGCTGCCACCATCGGAGAACATCGTAAACAACTGGTATAACATCGTAAACAACTGGTATATACAAATACAGGGGTTTAAATAGCGAGTATACGAAAAATTTATTATATAATAAATTTTTCGTATACTCGCTAAAATAAAAAAACCTAAATCTTTTGATATCTTTAGGAAGTCTAACTTGTATTATATAATTTATTATTCAAGCTAATAAAACATTTTAGATGAGTTCAACTACGGTAGTGAGCATAGTTTTACGACCGGTTTTGCTAGTGGGGACATAACAGGGGCTATTTCGGCTGTAAGAAAATTTTTTAAAGGTACATAATTATAATTTTAGAAGATGTTCATGAAAAATTTAAGCACTAGTTGATTAAAAAAAAGTAAACCATTAATATTGGAAATAATATATTTTATCCTCTCATAGTATATGCCTATTTATTGTTTTTGTTTATGTAATGAGCACTTTGTGTACTCACTTATTTCGTCGAACTGCTTGAATCCATTTTTGCTTTTGATTAAATCTGTGAAAAATGTGAGAAACTGTGAAGTTATAAAATGTTTTTCGGGAGAGTTGAATATCCGGGAACGTTGAGTTATTGAATGTTACTGCACCCAACAACCACGTAATTACGCTTTCCTTTACGTGATAACATTTTTCGGCAATTTTATTAACATTTGAAATGGTCACAACACAACGCGACTCCCAGTTTGGGTTCTTTCTCACTTAATTTTACTACCTGAATCTTACAACGTTACATCGCACAAATCTCTACCTGAGTATTTTATAGTGTCAATAACTGCACTAGTAAAAATTAAAATACTTAAATATTATGACAAAGCCTCGATTTCAATATTATTCAGGCCCTAGACACTCAATGGTAATTTTATAGACCTATAAATTTAGTTTTTTCCCTGTCGCCAGACGGCGCAAAGGCATTAAAATACAAGTTTCTAATTTATATATGAAGATGACATGACAGCCTCTACGTTGACTACCGTCTACGATCTAGTTTTGGTCAAGTTGACAATGGTTGGTGATCCGTCAAGTGATTTTTAAATCGTTTTTAAATAATTATTAATTCAGATATTCGTGATTTGACGGAAAGTTCAGTAATTTGTAGTTTGTGTTTTTATTAGTTTGTGCATTTTGATATTTACAGTCGATCATCGTTTTCGTGTTAGATAAACTAAACTTTTTATTAAAGACATTTTGACATTTTAGAAATAACAAATTTAACAACCAAAAAAATTAGTTTAATCATAAAGAAGCACCTACATAGTTGGTATTATCACAGATTAGGTATCCTATAAGTATACAGATAAAAATCTTGTCCCTGATTCGTGGTACGAAAATTGTTTTTATGACGATGTGCAAACGAGTAAAATTTCCTGTGCTCAAAAATAAACTCGCATAAAATAACAATAAACAGCGTAATAGAGAGATATCGCTAAACCGAATAGCGTGCATGGACGTTGATAAGGCCAGGTGTTATTTCCTTTACGTGAGGTGGTATTAACTCTCTTCATTTATAGTTATCGGATCGGAAAGAATTCTGTTCGCGTCGCGTCCGCTATTTAAACTTAACCTAACTTTGAATTTAAAACTTTGAAATTGGTTTGTTTACTAGGTATTTTAAAACTAAAGGGCTAAAGTGCTTATTTCCAGTGCTTTATTGTTTAACGTCTGCCAGTGGGTTTAGGGCAACAAGCAACAAATTCTCTTAGAAGGGCTAAGTCGTCATCTGCTGTAAACCTAAGCCTCTTTGTAGGTTCTTTAATATTGAAAGAGGTGGAATCCATATTTTGGGCCATATTTATTTAATTAAAACTAATCCCAGCTACTTAAGTATCAAATTACCTAATAAAACTAAAGTAATAATTCAAAACAATTCAAACATAACCTAAAATAAAAGATCTCGCCGGCCGGCCCCGGTTGTCAAATACCCGCACATGTCCATTTAAGCAATTTTTAAACGTTATTTAGAAATAGCGCTTGGTGTAATTGATCCGCAAATTACGTCAGGCGGTAACGTTATTAGCGGGCGTTGCGTTAAAAATTGACTCGCGCATATCGTAACCATGATAAGGTACGGTAAAATACTGCATGACGCTATTCGGTTTTCCGATATCTCTCTAATAACTGTGCCGGTCAGGCGCTGTGCACAATTTTAGAGGCCATAAGTGGGCGTGCTATGTGCGCAAACTAGTAACCTAACTAGTGCCCGATTCCGAAAATTGGAACCACGAAAAACAATAAAGAAAAAACAAAGTTTATAATCTGTGGTATTATATAGTATTTTTAGTAATAGTTAATTAGTAGTCTATAATATTTTTACTATATTATAATTTATTTATTAAAACAACAAATAGGCGCTATGTGCTCTATTGTTGGTGTTTAAAATGTATGTATTCATAATTTTATTTCTGTTTTGACTATGTTACATATCTAATGATCTAATAAAATATAAAATGTGGTAAAAAAGTCTATATGTATTATTTTATATTTTACAAGGAATAATTTTGCGCTTGAATAACGTTATCCTTTTAGTTAGCGTTAATAAGTAACGGAACGTTAAAATTATGTTATATCAAAACTCTCCATTAGTTTCTTCCGGATCACCAGGTGGCTCTAAACGACGGACCTATTTCTTTTATGTCAGTGTCCAATCTATATCTAGTACATGACATTACTCTGTGATATTATTTCAATGCGGTTGACATGAACGGTAACGAGACTGCCTGAAATACTTTAGTCAGGCACTTCTAATTTCTGCCGTGTTGAGCGCTGCGATCGGAATTTTTGAAATCAACTGAAATGCGCCCAAGCCTATACAAAAGTGTGTATATTTACCTATGAACTACTATATCGAAGACTGGCAAGAATCTGAGACACACGTTGCCAAAATACGGATGATAACCACTGGACTGTTCCTCCAAGGCGAATTTTTCTGGGTATTTTCGATGGAATTCTAAATGCTTTTCGTGCCAGTTGGTTTGGTTCCAGTGATCCGGAGAATTTTCCTTGACAAAATCGAAAACTCTGTTCCGAAATTCGGTAGCTTTCAGAAGAAGCAGTTGTATCAAAAACGAGCAAACCTATTAAAAAGATAATTTTATTAAATCATAAAATTTAAAATAGTTTTTTCTACTATACGTAGTACAATAAAGAACTTAGTAATATACGAGTAGAGTAAAAGAGCTTAGTAAGTAAAACTTGAAGTAATGAATATAATCAGTTAAAAGTAAATATTAACCTACCTGAGCATCGTTTCCTTCTTGCATTCTTAGCGCTAGACATAGAACCAATCTGTCAAAAGTGACGATGTTGTACTTCCAGATCATATCGTTTATAATATCGACGCACTTGTTGACGTGAGAACCTCCAGCAGAATTCGTAAATTCGAACACCAGACAATCGCAAAATTTACGCAGATGCGCTGAGAAAGCTCTAGCACCAATACGCTCCAGAATCCTGAGAAAAATCGAAAGAATAAAGTAAAACCACCTTATAAAGATTCTAGAAATTATAATTCAATAGGAGAAAAAATAAATAAAAGTCTAAAGCTCCGTCTACACATAACGTTTTACCGTAAGTCTAAAGACGTTGTAATGTAACGTGTTACAAAATGAGCATACGTTAGTCAATGCCAGGAAATGTGTAGACCGAACTTAAAGGCTTTTTTGTTTCTACACTCAGATGCAAAAACGCAACTGAAAAATGTTTAGTCAAATTTAAAGTGTAATATTTTTTTATTTTTAGTCCTATTTGCATGATTTTTTTATCAATCTGTGTATAAATATATCAACTTTAATTCCTAAACTCGTTTTTTTTAATAAAATTTAGTATTGTGCTTAGGGAATGCAATCCCGCACCAAAATATCAATCCCGCAAACTCGCGGGATTAAAGCAATCAATCCCGCGGATCGGCAAAATTGCGGGACTGTAAACAATAGTCGTACATTGGGTCCTAAATGGTACAAAAGGCATTGTACATTTTGCATAGGCCTACAATATATTGATATAGCGTGTATCTTAAACTAGCTGTACAGAAATTTGGACACCGATGTATACAGAGTGTTCAAAAAATATATTTAATATTAAATAAACTTAAATTTTATTATAATTTATCTACTTATTTTATAAATAAAAATATTATTCAGATTGGAGTTTTTTTTAACTTGTGTTAGTTATCTGCTTTTAGATACACTCTATATCAATAATTGTTTGGCATATGCAGAATGTACAAAGCTTCTTGTACCATTTAGGGTCATACGTATGACTAAAAATGCATATTTTTCGAAAAAACGTCGTATTTTCCTTAAAACAAAAAAAAATTAAAAAACCGATCAAATTGTTTTTTTCTAATTTCAATACAGATTCGTCGTATATACTTGGTCAAAATTTCGATTTTTTAAAAATTGTAAATTTGCGGTAAAAAAGATTCTTGATCAAATTTTCACACTCTTATAAAACACCCCGTATACGAGAATTCGCTAAATATATTTTCGAAAACCACACCAGCATCTTAATCACAATAGATTCATCTAAAATCTGGTCCAAACCGCATCCCAAAATCTTTTTTAGTTGTTCAAGAGATATTCAACTTCAAATTTACCTTAAAATTTTGCTTGTCCCAATAATTATGTCCGGCAATTTATTTGACGAAATTGTCCACAAGTACTAGTTAAACGTTTTTCTTCACTTACGCACATACGCCAGAAAGAAATCTAACAATTAGCCTGTTTGTTTCACTTATTTTTAATGGCCATGCAAGCCGTAAGGGGAATCACCCGGGTTCCGAGCGTCGACGCATCGGCCCAGTACGAAGCGGTCTGATCTTGTGTTGATCCCGTGTTGATCCCGCGGATCCCGCACGGTAAATCCCGCAACTTTGATCCCGCGGAATCTCAGAGGGATCACGAATTGCGGGATCCAGTATTAGCGGGATTGCATTCCCTAATTGGGGGTGCTTATTATACTGCGCAGGGTACCTTAACTTTAAAACACCCTGTGCAATAATTTCGTCAGCAAAATTTGCAATTTTTTCAATTATTATTTCTTTTTTATGTTATTTTTCAATATGACGAGGTGGCCCCGATTATGGTGGACTATATACTGCAATGATTTGCCCAGCATGTTTGACAGATCTGAACCCTATAGAACACGTTTGGGAAATGCTTGGCAGGAATGTCAGAGGTCGCGAAGCGGCATCAGCTTCATTAAAAGAACTTCGCTTGGTCCTTAAAGAATAATGGAAAAACAAACGCCATATGATATATGCAGCTTCATTGACACTATGAACGGACATCTCAAGGCAGTTATAGCAGCCAAGAGAGGCAATATAAAGTATTTTTTCTGTTTGTATACTTGATTATTAGATTATTACAGATGTTTTTTAATTCTTTAGTCTGTTAGTCTGTTATCGCTATAAATCTTCATTAAAACCACGACTCTGTATTGCTCCTTTTTAACGTTTTTTTTAAATTTAGTATAGTGTATCCAATGCAGCGTAATATGACATTACGACAATAGCCAACAAAGCCACCTCGTCATTTTAAAAAATAACATCAAAAAGTAATGATAATTGAAAATTGTTGGTGGCAAGTTCGTTTCGTTCTTAAAAATTAACCAAGGCATGTATTGACATAATCCAAAAAAAAACAAAATGCTCAGGAGACATAGTTCTAATCGAAAAATAATGTTTTAGGAAAATTCGCTGACGAAATTATTGCACAGGGTGTTCTAAAGTTAGACTAAAAAACAACCATAAACCCTGTACAATAAAGCCCAATACTAAAGTTTATAAAAAACTGAATTTACAAATTAAGGTTGATATATTCATATACTGTTTGCCAAAAAAATCATGAAAATTAGACTAAAAAAAAATATAATAGTTTCAACTTTACGAAAAAAATTTCCGTTGCGTTTTTTTTGTATCTGAGTTTATTTAAGGCTAGAAATAGTAGTCACTTACTTGTATGCTATGGGACTAATATGGTTCGATTCTAGCAACATCTTCCACAGCAAACACAAAAATAGTGGCGGCGCTCCTGGAGCCCCAAAATGTGCCATTATATCGTTCTCGTTGTTCATAGAAGCCCATTTGCGGTTCTCCTCTTCAACAGCTTTCCTCAACTGCTGCTTATTTTCCTTAAATAAATTAAAACCAAAAAATATAATACTTCCTATAAATCTCCCAAGAATATCTGCATATTAAACGGTTAACTGATAACCAATCATCGTTTTAGCAAAAAAAAAAACTAAGCCAAAACGTCACTTAGCAAGAATGTTTCTCTTATATTGATTGATAGGTATTAAGAGTATCCGGTCTTAGGATTGGATAACAGCCTTTTTGTTTGCCATTAAGCATAATTTGATTAAAAAATTGAACTTATATTATTATGGCTAAACAATAAACTTATAATCATTTATTTATTATTTATATTAATACAAAAGTAGCAAAATTTAATAATGAAATAAACGGCCGAACAGTGAGAAAGAAAACCCCAAACCTCTTGCAAATGCCTAATCACAAAAATGGCTGGTTAAGAAAAATAACTAGACTTACTTGCGGCATAGCATGCTGTGTGAAGAACTCCTGCAACGCTCGAGGGAAGCATTCTAAAGTGTGGGGCGCCCACGCGTGAGGCGTGCTCTGCGCTATGGTTGCCAGTAGATCGTGACACCACGCCCCGTCCGACCCGGTCACGTGAGTGGCCCTGGCCAATGTGAGCACGAGGGCGCGGTTTAGTTCTTCCGACTCCGCCGACACTATCGTTTTCGGTTCTTGCAGGAAGCGGGACAGCTCGGGTTGGACGTCTCCACTGCCCAAGCCTAAAGGAAATAGAGTAAAGATTCTGATATACAGAAGCGACATGAGAGATATTTTTGAGAAATAATCTTTAAGTTACTAAATAAAACCTAAGTGTAGGTTTACAAGCATCCGTAATGAGTCGTCCGTCGTTTTGGTTTTATGCAATTTTTTTGGTCTATTTCAAAAACGACAGCTCATTTTTAAATATTATTGGAATTACGAAAAGACGGACTATACGGATGCTTATTAGTGATGAGCATTACGACTCTTTTAGTGGATCGAATCATGCGATTCAATTTCTCATAATGGCTCGACTCTTACGATTCCTTCATTTGAACAAACTACAAACGTAATTTTCTTATAACAGATATTTAATAAAATAATCAATTAAATAATATAATGCAGATAAAAATAAGTAAAACATTTCAGATAAATGTATGTCCTAAAATGGCTTAGTTTCGGAGATACAGAATGTAAAAGTTTCATTTTTATTTCGATTTTTTCCAAATAATTTCTGATGTAACGTCAATATTTGGATGAAAATTGGTGTCTAGGAATTTTTTTTGACATGAGAAATTTGATGTTGATGTCAATATGACTCCTATTCGTAGGGGTCGCCACCTACATGTGTTTTAACTGTTTTAAAGAGTAATAACTTTTCGTCCGTACCCGTATAAAATTACTGAGTGAAAAAAAGTACATTGTGATTTTTTAATTTTTTTAAAAAAAATGAAGGAATTATAAATTTGGGAACTCTTTAGTTTTTGAAACTAATCATAGATTATTCTTCAAAAAAAAATGATGATAAAACTGTTTCTGCTGAACTTCTGACACAAAAACATTTCAAATTTATGATTTCAGTCTAATAACTATTTAGTCAACATGTTTAATTTATGTCACTGATGACAGGTACCTGTTGATAATTTAGATTCCAAATATCTCGAAAACCATTTCTCGTAGCCGATTTTTACCAAGATACCTTTTTTATGTAAAAAACGTCGTGAATATATATTTTTTTACTCAGTGGTTTTATACAGGTATGGACAAAAAGTTAGTTTTACAACGGTTTATTGCTCTTCAAACTAGTTAAAAACTATGTAAGTGGCGCCCCCTACAATTAGGAGTCATATTGACATCAAAATCAAATTTCTCAGGTCAAAAAAATTCGAGACAAAATAATAAAAGTACGAATATTTAAAAAAATTAGTTTAATGCAAATAACTTACGACCTGTACAAAATATCAAAAACTTTTATAGAAATAACTTATAGAGATTGAAAAACTCTATAAAAACTGTCGTATAAAATATTCCCAAGTTGAAAATTGCGTAAAAAAATTGAAAACATGTTAAAATTTGAGGAATCCAAATTTAACCTTAAATAACTTTGGAACCGATATATCAAAAAACTATGAGAGACCTTTTTTGTAGAGCGTTCAATTCTCTACAAGAATATGTTTCTACCCAACCAGTCCGAAAACAAAAACAAACAAATTTCAAAGCTGGAAAAAAACTTCCCATGTTAGACAAATTAAAAATGGAAATTTCCTATGTATATCAATTAATCATACCTGTTATTAATCTCAAAGCTGTAGATTCAACACATAAATGAAGTTGTGTCTGATTGGCTTGGGGAACAGCAGCCAATGAATGTAAATGACTCAACAGTTGAACTCTATTGAAATTAAAATATTTTATTTAATTAAAATTCTTAAAAACAAACAAATAGTTTTACCTATAATGTGGATGGATGTGGTGCATCCTATAGCTGAACATCTCCAGCAAAGTATACAAAGTACCCCATGCATGAAATTTATAAACCTGCGGTAGCAACTGAGTAATGAACCCTTTAATACCTAGAGACTCTATTTCGGTGTAAACTAGTAGTCTACTGTAGGTTTCAACCAAAGCAGGAGCAAGGGGAACTCCTAAAAATATAAATAAATAAAAATATTAAAAGTTCTTATAAATTCTTGCTATACTACCTGATTTTGTCCCTGCTAATTTTATTACATGAGTTACAATACTATGAATAAGGCTCATTTTGGAATGCACAGTTAAGGAATCCAAAACAGCCATACTCAAGGGACATGTTGGCAAGGGGCAATTCATCGAACCTGTTTTTGTGCTGCCCTGTATAGTTTCAACTAAAGCCGCCATTGGTTTACTACAAATAAATACAAATACATTGTTTGTCAATCATTAGAATTAATTATTTCACCTAAAGCACTCCTGATTGGTACTGTAAGCATTGCAAAGAAGCGCTATGCGATAATCATTACCCATTGCCAGTGAACTATTGCTCGGTGCTACAACATGTTGTAAAAATTCATGATGCGATCTTAATTTGTTGGGTAAAGGCCAACTTATGTTGCTTTGTTCTGATTGGGCCTGAAAATGAAAAAAAAACGTCTCCCTGTATATAAAAAAATCATAATAAGTTATACAAATCTACCTTCTTTAACAAGTGTATCCAAATACAAGTCATGGCCATCTGTCTTGTGCATTGAGGTTGGTTAAAATCTGGAACAGGTAAAGGGGGTTCTTGTTCAGGGAACAACAATTCATACAACTTAAGAACTGGAAGGAAATTGGTTAAAGGATTCCTCTGAATTGAACCAGATATAAACTGGAGAAGAACCCACATTAACTGGTCACGTCCCCTTCTTAGTTCTCTTCCCTAAATAAAAAGCAGTTCAGATGAAGTGAAATTACAAATTTACACACTATTACCTGTAATCTGGTATGTAAAGACATGACAATATTTGGAAAACTTGCAAACTGGAACAGCACAAAATAAATGAGCTGTGAAGATAGGTGTAACCACAAACCATCGGTTTCATCGTCGGTCTCAGTTCGTTCTAGAGCAGAAATTACCAGTTCAACTAACTGTTCTTCAATGGCTTGACAGTGTTGTTTATGTTGTTTGTTTAATCCAAGCATACCACAAACCTATAATATAAATATAACATCTTGTTTATGTTTTTCTTCTTTTTACATTTACTACAGTTATTGTTTTGTCTTTATAGCTGTCTTAAGCTACCCTAACACCCCTATTGTAAGGTTCTAAGTGAAACAAATGTAATAAACACATTTTTTCTGTACAATTAATTTTAAATTTCCTATGAACACCACAGTTTTGGTATAGAGAAAATTCACTAGTATAATATTACAGTGAATTTTGTAAACTGTTATCTAATTTTTAAACTCTATACTTACCATATCTCGACTATAAGGCTGTTCAAGGACATATCTTAATAAACCGGTCTGTTTCTCTAATAGCTCTGGTTCATAAGGCAAAGTACCTATAAAATATACTGCCTTATTTATAGTGTCAATCATTTACAACCACTTACATACCTTTTAATGCAAACTTCAAAGTACAAGGGTCCAATTTCCAGGGATTTACTAAATGTTCTGGGCAACCACTATGTTCCACTACAGGTCGCATTTGGGAATGTCCAATAATTGACAACATTTGTGCACAAGGTCTGAAGCTTTCTATGTAGTCGGAAAATAGAGATGAAAGACTCCAGTGTGGACATTCAGAGTAAGCCTAAAATATTGAAAAAATGATGAGTATCTTAGTACTGCTCAATATATTAAAAAACATCTACTTTTTGTAACTCATTTACAAGTAAATATCCTGGAAGTAGGCACACATCTCTGTTCATTATCTTCTCGGCAACATCAAGCAAAGCTTGTGCTTGGGGCTGAATTCCTGCAGTAAGATTCAAGGGCAATCCCTTGGCTTTCTCACAACAACCCTTCATAATTTCACGGACACCCTTGTACTCTACTTGATCAATTACAGTTTTAATGAGTTTAAAACATAATATCCAAAAACGAGAATTTCTGAACTGAAGCTCATCACTTGCAATAATAAATTCGCACGCTTTTCGAGCTTGAAGAGACCCTTTTTTGATACAACTCTCCAGTAAATCCATTAATAATTCCATTTCACTGTGAGAGCCTTGAGTGGTAGTATGTAAATATTGCCTTAATACTGTGTCTAGGAGATCGGGATTGACTGAAGTGAAATAGTCGTATAATTCTTGTTGCCATCTGGCTATGTTTTCGGCGTCAGCTTCGGGCCGATGCACTAAAAAACAGCTAAAAGCCTCTTCAATTCCTTCGACGCCGAGAATTCGATTGAGAATTGCTGTTAATTGTTCCGCCATAGTGTTTGTCTAATACAAATTCAATTCTATCACAAAAAAACGTATTAATAGTGACTATTTAATCATGCTGGAGACATAATTTAATTACAGCCATTTAAACCACTTTAAAAAACTCGGCAAAAAAACAAACAAATTTGTTAGGTTATTTCAGATGTCAGGATGACAGAATCAGTCAGTGGTGTCAACATATTGTACCAAAAGTTACTAGCTAGAACTAGTGTTATTAGCGTGTATATCTGGTTGTAGCGATATTTACAAGTCTGTATTTATTTTAACACTTCCAAAATTTCCAGACTATGATGACATTATGATGCTCTATGATGCTATTTTGGCGGCCTCCTTGTTTAAATGTTTTAATATATTAAAAATATTTTCATAAATATACTGATCAAATATATTTTTTAACGTTATAGTTTTCTTACAGGAATGTTTTATAGGTATTTATTTTAATACAATACCTTTTAAAGCTCTCCCATAGTTAAATAAAACAGCAAAATTCTTCCTACTTTCTAGTTAGAAATTATTGATTAGCATTATAAATAAATATATCTATTTAACAAAAAATTGAATATAAGCTGAGTCGATTTGTGTTACTGTATAATAAAAAAAAACTTTTCAAGTTGGCTTGGAAAAATAACGATTAATGAGATTCACCATTTAATTTTACATATAAAATGATAGCAATCTTCATTCCATGCCCACTTTGACGCCGGTTTTTTTCCGGACATATGGTATAAAATACATAGGTTTCAATTTATAGTATATATAGTTTACACAATTTAAAATAGCTGATAAAATACGTATAGTTTTAACTCACCTTGTACATAGGTATCAATAAGCAATTACCACACATTTCTAGTTCAAAAGCATCAATATAGTTATTAACGATTTTTTAGCTTTAATAGAGCTTTAAATGTATAGAGAATATGCTCTAAAAACGGTTAAAATGCTATATTTAAAATCTTTTTAAAATATATTACAGCACCCGGTATACCGGGTGCGTCTCAAAAATAGCTCACCCCTATAACTTTTTTTTTATTTTTTCAGATTAAAAAACGAGATTTGGTATGTTGGTATATAACATAAATTAGGATTGATTGGCGTATTCAATTGTTTTTTGTCACTTCCTATTGCATCGGAAATGACTACAACTTTTGATTTTTAAACGGCTCCTTTTTGGTATATTTCTACGACATATGATATGTCGTTCTATTCAGAGTGTCTTTTTCTATCGAATAAAGTAGAAATATACCGAGGGTGTAATTTAAAAATCAAAAGTTGTAGTCGTAATTTCCAGTGAAACAAGAATAAGTCACCAAAAACAATTGAATGCGTCAATCAATCCTAATCTCTTATACTAACATACCAAATCTCGTTTTTTTATCTGAAAAAATAGAAAAGTTATAGGGATGAGCTACTTTTGAGATGCACCCGGTATATGTTATATGATAATACATTTATGGAATTGGAATTTTATGTCATAACTGGGCGATAGAAATATATATTATTCCAGTTACAAAACTAAAAATTTTGAGTGATAGTATGTACAAATCACCCTGTATATTTCAAAAAAGTAATGATACGTGTTTTTTTGAAGCACTGGGTATCCTCTGTGTAACTTTAATGCGTTATAATGTCGCCACAAATTGTGGAGATTTTGTTAAAACGTTTGGGGTGTTTAGGTTTAATTTAAAATATGTATAACAAAATTATTATAATCTAGATTGTCTTTAATATTCACATGCTTGTTATATTATCTGGGCTGCGGTTTGATACATACTATACCACCCTTAATAATCAAACCATATTATAACAATAATGCTGTGATCATCAAAAACTTATGTATCAATAAAAATAAGATAAAAGTAATAACTTGATAGATACACATATAACGTTTTTTATCAGCAGATGGGTAAATAAATTTCCAATTAGAATCTATATCAATATGCAATTTATTATATATTAATTTTTGTTCTCCATTATCATGAACAATAAGGGCTTATATTAGGATATAGTATTCCACCTAACAAAGATTAAAATTCATGCAATATATTCTTTAGTTTGTTTTGTTAAGTGCGAGATACTAAACCTTTTCGATTATGTATTATAAGAGTTTTGTATTTGTACAAGTGCAATTATAGGAAATCAGTGATTTCTTCCGTAATAAAAAGCGCTCTGGATATTTTTCCTTTCCACCCTGTATATATTTTTGTTTCTCTTTTCGAGCGTAATTGGATCCAGCTTATCGAGTAATATTTAGCAGAGCCACATTTCCAGGTATATTACTCTTTATCAGACGAAGTTCTAAGCAACATCATTATGAAGTCCCAATTTATTGAACAGGTGAAACTAGATTTACGTTTTTATAGGTTTGAAAAGAACAATCTGGGATAATATTTATTATTTTCAGGTACAGCTTTTGATGGAAACGCAGCATATTAAATACACGGAGACGCTCTTTGGTAAGCCGAATAATTACATGTGGCTTTGCACCAAGAAGCCTCATATGGTGTATTGGATGAGTACCAGAGATGAGATTAAAATTCGTCAATGTTTGGCCAAGGTACAGTTGCTTAAATTTATATTTTACTTATTTAAATCTTAAATGAACGTTTTTTAATCATAACTTTTTATTTAAGTAACTCAAAAAAGAGTTTTATCATTTAATATAACTAAAATGTTTTAATATTAAACAAACCATTTTGTATATTTTATTATTATTAAGTAGTATACGTTTCTATAACGAGACCTCTAAAGAAATACCATATGCAATGCCATGCAATATTAAACAACCAGCTATTATAGCTGGTTGTTTAATAGTTTAAAGTATATATAATATATACTTTCATACTTTGCATCTAAAGCTATATATTTTTACCAGCTATATAAATGCATCCACTAGATCTTTATCTTTTTATCCAAATGATTGATTGAGTCCCTTATTATGTACTGTTATGCCAAAAAATGAAATATATTTAATTAGGAACGATACAAAACACATAGAGGTATCTCTCTGAATTATCAATTTACTCAAATCAAGATAATATATTCAAAAGGCCTACATTGGAATTTAGAAATAATAGCCTTATTAAAATTATAGTTGTTAGAAAATGTTGATAGCATCATATTTCAAATTTAGGACACGTTGTATATACTTTTCGCTTACTCTTTAAAATGAGCGCAATTTAAAATATTATTCGAGGTTCAAATTAGAGAATCACCCTGTATTTTCTATAATTATGCCTATACAGGGTGTCCCAGACATAAGTGCAAGTATTTTAACTGGTAGTATAGTTCAACTAGCTTTTGCGCCACTCTTGTGTCACCCTGTATACGAAGGCAAAGTAATTTAGTTATATCCTATTTTTGAAACACCCCCTGTATATAATCTCTTACATAATTTACCGGTATCTGATACACACTTTCTCTTAATAATTTTCCAGATTACCCAAGAACAAGAAATAAGGGTTCTGAAAAAAGTTCTAACGTACCTTGATAGGTACCCTAACGCCAGTCCCAGCAAAGTACCGGAAATAACACTGTACTACTTGAACGAAGCGCTTACAACGAATTTCTTAAAACAAGCTCAGCAAGAGACCCAGAAGAAACCGTTCTCTAGGATGGCCAGCTTCAGGAACAGTCTGAGAAAATTCAGCTTGGTATCGAACAAGTCTCATCTGGGTGTGCCCCAAGACAATGCCAAGCCTAGAAGATCGGTGACTTTCAATGAGGTTCCAGAAATTTATAGAATTTCTTTAAATAAATAATATTGTGATGGAGGTATTGTTTTAATAATAATAAAGGAGATTGACTGCAAAATAGTTATGTCACTTATATCTGTCATATTGTTACTGTTTTTCTTATATAATCACATTGAAAACCAACGAAGAACTTATACAGGGAGGCGCAACTCATTCGCCTCGCTTGATTATACGAAATCGGAAAGATGTAGTAGAAACAAAATATTCTATGTACATGTATTAATAAAGGTTAAATATGGCTACAAGCTATGGTTTTTGAGATATTTAAATATGCATGCTATAATAAAAAAAATTGTCAACACCCTGTACATTCCTTTTCAGTATTAATTATCGTGCTGACTGTTAAGCCAGAGAACCGGCTTTACTGCAAAATTACATTGCTTCGTTTAATGTATACAGGGGTATCAAAAATTGCTGGTCTATTTTAAATATTTATTTTACATAAAAACTTCGTTATTTCAAATACAACACCCTGTATTTTTTAGAACAAATCGAAGCAGATAGTTACTTATTTATTATAGAAAATAGTTATTAAACTGTCAGAATATTGCAATGGCGACACCAACCATCTTGCTTGCCATTTTATTGAAAAATCGTTTTTTGTTCAAAATCTGAGCTAGATAGGTATAGGAAACACTAACGTTAGTTAGGGTGAGGTTAGTTAGTTTGAAAGAACATTTAAACATGCTTCGATTTATTTTAAAAAATACAGGGTATCGAATATTTGAAGTAACGAAGTTTTTATGTAAAATAATTATTTAAAATAGATCAGCAATTTTTGGTACCCCTGTATAAATTTAAGAAAGCAATAAAATTTTTCAGTAAAGTTCATTTCTCTACCTTTAAACTCAGCACAAGACTTATTAATTCTGAAAAGGAATGTACAGGGTGGGTCAAATTCGACGCTTTTAAATGGAAACACCCTTTTCTATAGGAGATAGACGAAAACTAATATCGGTGTCTGGAGCTCAATTTTCATCAAAAACATGATGGTGGAAACCGCACATCAATATCTGTTACCGTTTCGGAGTTACGCGGTGTTTTTCAAAAATGTGCATTTTTAACAAATCGCTGTAACTTTTTTGCTATGGAAAATTTTGTATTTCTATGAAAACATTTCCAAATCACCTTTTTACGTAGAATTTAATGGTTTAAGTATAATTTTTTTAAAATTAATAATTTAAGAGCTATCAACAGAAAAATTGATTTTTTATTTGGGACACCCTCTATATTTTTAATTACCTGAAAAGAATTTAAAATTACCTTTCCAAAAATATAGCACACTTGATATTTTGTTATAATCCCTTTCGAAATACAGAGTTATTAAAAGTTCGCCACTTTTAACTAGTAGGCTTTGGACCCCTTATTGATGATATGCCCTTAATGGAACTCGAAAACATATTTTTCCAGCAAGACGACGCACCGCCTCTGTACGCTGAAGTTATCAGCAAATTTTTGCAGCCAATTTCAAGAATAATTGAATAGCTAACCAAGGTCCCAGCCGTTGGCCGTCGAGGCCGCCTGACTTAGTGCCCATGGATCTAATCCTATGAATATATTTGCGGAAGAATAAAGGTTCCTTATTCTTCCGTATAATCTAGATAAGAATTAGAAATAATTAGCAGATATGAGAGGGTATCTTTCACCCCTACTGAGTTAATGAATTCCGCGAGAAGTGTTCAAAAACTGCCCCGTCTGTCCATAACAGAAGACGGTCGATATGTCGAGCACCTGTAGCAAAATCTCATGTCTTGGTTTGCTATTTATTTTTATTGTTATTAGATATAGTTTATGTGTGTTGATGTTGGTTAAATATATTTTAAATTGTTATAAAATTCTGCATCTCTTATAGCAAATATTATTTTCGTTTTAATTGATGCTCACAGCTAGATTTTTTTGCATTACAGTCGGTGCCGTTCAAAGCCTACTCATTTACAGCGGGCGAATTTTTATATACTCTATATCTCGAAGAGGAATCGAGCAAAATATCAAGTGTGTTATATTTTTGGAAAGGTAATTTTAAATTATTTTCAATAAATTAAAAATATACAGGGTGTCCCATATAAAAAATCAAATTTTCTGTTGATAATTCTTAAATTATTAATTTAAAAAAAATCATACCTAAACCATTAAATTCTACGTAAAAAGGTGCTTTGGAAATGTTTTCATAAAAATACAAAATTTTCCATAGCAAAAAAGTTACAGCGATTTGTTAAAAATGCATATTTTTGAAAAACACCCCGTAACTCCGAAACTGAAGAGATATCGATATGCGGTTTTCACCATCATATTTTTGACAAAAATTGAGCTCCAGACACCGATATTAGTTTTTGTCTCTCTCCTATAGAAAAGGGTGTTTCCATTTAAAAGCGTCGAATTTGACCCACCCTGTACAGGGTGTTGACAACTATTCTATTGTAGCATGCATATTTAAATATCTTTAAATATCTCAAAAGCTAAATATTTTAAACATATTTAACTCTTATAATAAATGCCTTTTTTTGGGCCAGAGAATCCAAAAATTAAATAAAATACCGGCTGTTCTATAAGAAAAAATATAACTTTAGTATGGATCTTAGTTCTGAAACGCCCTGTATATTACAAAATAATTTTAAATTGTGTACATTACCTCCCCACATATACCCATGGAATATTTTGTTTGTTGATTTTAACACACAGCATCCAAAAATCTAACGAAAGACAAAAAGCAATGTATTCAAATGTATCTTTCAATTAAAGTGATTGACAATTACTATTATTTTTATATTATTTTAGCTGGTCAGATTATACAGCGTGAGTCTAAAATAAGTGCAAATACTTTCAGGGTTGACAGATCTTGATAAAAGAAACATATTTTCTCTATACCGACTTTTCAACGTCAGAATAAATCCGAAATAACTCTATAATAATCTATACAGTAAAAGCTGTGGTAAAAATGACTATTGTAGGTACAAAGAAAAAAATGCTCAATGTTAATTTTGTATTGCGTCTCACCCTGTATAACTAAATGTCCAACTTAAATTTAGTCTATCGTAAATACAATGATCACACAGGACGAGTATATATTACATTTAATACAGGGCGAGTCTTAATATATGTGTAAACAATTTTGGATTTTTTTTAGTTTTTAGTTAAAAAACATAATTTCTTGACAATATGGAGGGCAACATAGGTAGTAGATTAAATTTACAAGAAAGAAAACCCAGAAAAGATCAGTTCTCAAAATGTAAGCAAAAACGTTTTTTTAATTTTCAAAGTAAAATAACTCGTTTATTTTGGACTTATTTGAAAAACGGTAAAGACCGATTTTTGTCTCTAAAATGGTTTTGTGAGTACCAAAAAAGTAGTATACCGCTTACAAAATCTAATTCCATTCGTATTTCCACCGACAAAATGAATGGCGGTAAATGTGTGGGAAAATGAATGATTTCCCTTCTCCTTGGACCTTCAGCTTAAATAGTTATTATTCATAATATTTTAAATAGTTGCTAATATTTTGCTTTATTAGTATCCGTTGTTTATACAGGGTGTCCCAGGCTGAGCGTGCATTAGAAGTTTCTAGAGAACTATAACATCTAGCTCGGAGATTTTTTGCACATCATAGTTTCACAACTAGATCTATCGATTAAAAATATTTTCAACATGGCGGCACTTCCGAAAATACCGGAAGTTGACAGCAACTTTCTTCTTTTAAATATGTGCCCCCATTTTTTATTGCATACTTATATTCTCTGCAAAATTTTATGAATTTTGATATTAAACACTCTATATCTAACACTGACTGTTTTTGAGAAAAAAAAAATCTAAAATTTTTGAACGAAAAAAACTGCCTGTCAAAAATATGTTTATAGCCTAAATGTCAAATTTAGTGATTACCATAGCCACTGTGCCATAAAGAGAAAACATGTAGCTATCTATTTTAAAAATTAAATTGTTTGAATGTCATATAATAACGACCGCAGCTGTCATAGAATTGAGCCATTAAAAAATTATCATAAATAATTTTTTTCAAATAGAAACCCACTTTACTTTTTTTATTTCACTAGTGAAAAGGCTTTTCAATTCGTTACTTTTTGTCTATACATGTTCCTATACCTAAAATAAATCGTTTATAAGTTATTTATTAAGATTTGGTTTTAAAGCGTATATTTTTCTTGATTTTAACCAGTAGCCTATGACTTTAAACGTCAAGTGATGTAAAATAATAGATCTGGCCATGTCATATTGTGACGTTTTGTTCAAAAATCAGCATCATTTCCGAGCGGACTTTGGGCTGTTTTTTTTTTCGATTATATCGAATATTATTAATAATATCAACTAAAGAGCGAAAATACGAGATATATTTTTATAAATACACTTTTCACACTCTAAGCAGGCAGTATTTATATATAGGAAATTCAAATAAATCGTTTTCTGACAGATGGAAATAAATTGTCTGACCGTTTGACACTTAACGTCAAAGGAAGCTAGATAAAATCAAGAAAAATATACGTTTTGAAACTAAATCTTAAATAACCTAAAAACTATTTACTTTAGGTATAGGAACATGTAAGTATAGTTAAAAAGTAACGAATTGAAAAACCTTTTCATTAGTGAAATAAAAAAGTGGGTTTCCATTTGAAAAAAATGATTTATGATAATTTTTTAATTGCTCAATTCCATGACAGCTACCGCCATTATTTTATGACATTTGAACAAGTTAATTTTTGAAATAGATAGCCACATGTCTTCTCTTTATGTAACAGTGGCAGTGGTAACAGAGTGGTAATTACTAAATTTGACTTTTAGGCTATACACATTTTCTTGACAGGTACTTTTTTTCGTCAAAAAAATTTTAAATAATTTTTTTCTCAAAAACGGTTAATGTTAGATATAGAGTGTTTAACATCAATATTCATAGAATTTTACAGAGAATTTAAGTACATAATAAAAAATAGGGGCACCCTTTTAAAATAAGAAAGTTGCTGCCAACTTCCGGTGTTTCCGGAAGTGCCGCCATATTGAAAATATTTTTAATCGATAGATCTCGTTGTAAAACGATGATGTGCAAAAAATCTCCGATCTAGATCTTGTGGTTCTCTAGAAACTTCTAATGCACGCTCAGCCTGGGACACCCTGTATATCTTAATATATTTATACTTCTTAACTTGGTTTAAACAATGTAACAAATTAAAGTAATATGAAAACCATGTTCAAGAATTTTAGTTAAAAGCTAGAATATCTATAGTTTGTAACACCCTGTATATCATTATATGTATTTAAGTATTATGAATGAAAATTAATGGTATTTGTAAATGATTACAGCAAATGTATTTAGTCTGCAAATTTCACAATCTTTTGGAACATTAACAGGATAAATAAACTTTCACATGGATTTCTACTTAATTGGCTGATGCAAATTATTTTTAATAATTAAATTGCAACTTCAACATATTATTAACATAAATCAAAATTTTATTTGCTTGAATACCAGTAGTAAAACTTAAATTAGATGGATTTGATGCAACTTATTGTTTGTAGAGTTAAAAAAATATCATTAATTTTAAAAAATTTGAGCATTATCTATTTTTGTTACAAAATGTAATGAAAAATTAATTAATATTTGTTATTTAATAAACATTATGGACTTTTCTTTCAAAGATAAGTGAATACTTAATGTATTGTTTTGTCTTTCGTTATCTAAAACAAAAATTGATATGGACAACATATAAAAAGAAGCTTTAATATAATAATATATTTTATTTAAAAGAAACTCTACATAATGAAAAATTATTGGAATGATTTCTTACATAAATATATAATAATCTCATACATAACCGATAAGAATAATAGTTTTGCACATAAAATGCAACACGCACATTGTAATTTAAACTATAAATTACAATATCATTACAGTCCTTACATATTTTATTGTACACACACTTTAGGTTCGGTAAATTACATTGCATAAAATAGAATTACACAAACGGGCTGGTATAAATTTACAAAAGTTAAGAAACAACTAATTGCACTAGCGTATCATAGAAAAAAAACATTACGTTTGTAGAAAACGAAATATATCTGTCAAAAAAATAGAGGATATTTTTGTCTTACAAAAAGGATTGAGGTTTTATGCCATACGGATAGACTGGATAATTTGAAAGACTGCCGAGCCACATACAACAAACAGGAAGAGAGCCAACAGCCATGGACCTACAGGGGATGATTCCTTCTCTTGTTTCTGTAACAAAATATAATATTTTACTAGATATTAATTAATAAATTCCTGATCAGATTTGTTGGTCTATAAATACCAGTATGAAAATGTAAACACATGAAAAGTTTTATTTGCTACATTAAAAAATATACATTTGGCTAAAATCTTAGTCATGAAACATGTACAGAAGCTTAAAGTGCAACATTCTTGAAAATATAGGCCAATACGAACTCAAAATAACAGTAAAAATTCTTTAAATATAGAACAATATGGTTAAGTTTCAAGTACTCACCGACGATTTGGGTACGTTGCCCCTCATTGTGACCATTTTGCTGGCTTTTTCGTTGGCGATACGCATTCTTTGTTTAGGGGCCATTGTGTATAATATTTAGCTAAGAGTTTTTCGAAAAATTTCCAGAAAATTTAAAGGTGTGTAAACGCAAACGTCTGTTCACTTTCAAAACGGACTACAAAATGACAGAACACATAACAGAAAATGTAAAAACACCGTCGTGTTGTGTTGACACGTAGCAACGCATGTGCAAACACTACAAGATAAAATTTTTTTATCAAAGTTTTAAATTTGTATTTTTAAAATTAAAATGCAATTTAACAACTAATAATCATTACTACGTACAAGTTATTAAACTAAATATTTTTAGTAGTTAAAAACGATAGAAAAGCGCTTCATATTAAATTTTCCGGCGCATTCGCCAATTAGTATTATAGAAAAATTAAGTACACAAAGTGGGCAAAAGAAATTCAAAATTAAATGTATTATATCTTTTATACGTACAAATATCACTACAGTAATTTTGATCAATAAATTATACACTATACTAAAACACTTACTTTATTACAAGTTTCTTAATACTATCTTATATTATTATTGTTTAAATATAATGCTTAAATGTAAATAGGTAATATAATTTTTCAGTCCAAGTTCTAATACTGAAAATGTCATTCGGAAGGTGATATATTTTGGGCAGCAGCTAGTAAAGTTTCATGGATTTCTTTAGTGTACGATACTTGAGCCCCAACCGTTGCAAGAAACTGAGGATACGTTAAACTGTTCTCATTCATTCCCATGTTTTCATTACGAGTTGGAACAACCATCAAATTTAAGTATCTGTTACTGCTTTCTGCCTGCATTAAACACTTTATTGATGTTTTCTAAAAGAGTTACAGATGTTTTTGATTTTTGTTTAAGCAAATTAAGTATGTTTCTTATTACCAAATGAAGTTCAATTTGATCACATATTGAATAAAATTCTTCTAGGTTTTTATCAAAGCGAGGAATTTGAACATCCGGTGCTTTTCTAAAAAAAAATAAAGCTAGAACGTGATTATTTTCTAGTTTATTTTATAAACATACTGAGATCCTGAGTCGATCTGGCTGTTCTGGTTCAAAGTTTGTGCTGCGGTTTTTATAGTAAGCTAAAAAATATCGAGCTAGATAATGTACATATTATTTCAAGTAAACGTACTGCTAAAGTTTCTCTGAGGGGCACAACGAGAGCTTTTATTTTCGAAATGTTGTCAAGGGGTTGTGGAGGTTGTTGGGCTTGTTGCTGCATTTGCTGGGCTTGTTGCAGCTGTTGCTGAGCTTGCTGTACCTGCTGCTGTTGCATTTCTTGTTGTTTACTCATAGTAAACTGCATATTTTTATCTGGCATAGAAAACATTTTGAATTTTTGTTATTATTAAAAATTTAGAGAAACGTCAGAAAATTAACCTAAAAAAGTGAACTACCCACAGAAAATATACAATAGCTAACCTTGAGAGAGTAGAGATGTGTTGAAATACGACTGGTATAAACGAACTACTCAGTAAGGGGTAAAATCTTTATAAAAAGGGTAAAAAGAATAATACATTTTTCTTTTGTATATTTATACAGGCATTAAAATAGATTACCAGACATTCCAAAAAATTATTATTAAATTATAGTTATATTTTCTCTCTATTCAAACTACATTTATTTACTCACACCCTGTTTACATCTTGTTTACATGAAATATAAAAGACGTTTATATACAGGATGGCACTATAAATAACTGGGCATCTAGAGAAACGCCAAAAGAGAGTATGTAAAAAATTATAAGGGCAAAGTGAAATAAAAACAACGTGGAACATAGATACTGGTTTTATTGATTTTTGACTGTACCACCTCTTTAGGGGTCTTACGGTTCAACAAATGGCACACCATATACATATATTCTGTAACACAATATATAATGTCTATACAACAATTTTGTTTCTAATATATTCATTTCATATTTAAACAGGAATTTTTACAGATCCTATAATAAATATATTTCTTTTCGTGGTGGTATCAGTACCACCATCGCTATCAGCAAGGCACTTCAGAAATCATTGTCTGTATTTTTACATCCCTTTGTATTTACTTAAAAAAGAACGGTGTTTATTTACTTAGGTACTTTTATACTCGACAGGTCAACGGTTCTCTTTTAGACATATCAATTTTGAATAAAAAGGTTAATAATTTTTCACCGGATACATAAAATAGTTATAATAAAAAAATACTGTCAAAAAATTCACGTTTCAATAAGAAAAGGTATCACAGAATGTGAAATAACAAGTTACAATATACAATTAAAAAAATAATCACAATATGGTCTTCATTATAATTTAGTTTTAATGTTTTTTCTTTCATATTGGTTTAGTTTTGCCATATAGTTGCAGTTAACGAATAACGACTAATGCGTAAATATACAGGGTGATTCAAGGTCGATGGTACGTTAGATATTTATACAGGGTGTTTCAAAAACATGTGCCGTCTCTCTGGTGAAAAAGTGTCGACAGCTTTTTAAACATTAAAATATTTCGCACTTTCAGTAACTTTTACCCTCAAAATTTTTATTCCAATCTAAAAGCACTTAGAAGAAAATTATAATAAGTTGACAAAAAATTAAAACTTTAACCTCCTGTAGCTACGAAACAAAGCAGAATCGGACCTATATGTTGATATGAAAAATAAATCTTATTTTTACATGAGGAATCTCCCAAAGAGAGATGGGCACATGTTTTTTTAAAACACCCTGTGTACAACAGGCGATTAAAAATATTTAAAAAACGGTTCTTTGTAAACGTCCTAACCTACTGTCGCTGTGAATGATCCTGTATAGTGTACAATAATGTGCGACACCAAACCAAAAAGTTACGATTGTATGTATGGTAAGAAAACTTGGGTAATTTTGGTTCGTACGCGCGCTACTACTTACAAACTACGTTAAAAAAGTCGCCAGGGCAATATATATATAGAGTTTCTTTTTTGATCAATTCACAAACAGTATTTATTCTATACATTTATTAACAAAAAAAGCACAGAGTGAGGTATTTTACGTTATTATGCAGAAGTTGACACTTAGTTAGGATCTTTGCAAGCGCTAAGCTCCAGAGACTGTGCAGACCAAACCATACCGTTTTTCCATAAAGAACACCAAGCCGTTACGTGTTAACGCCACTTGAGTATGCAACTAACAATACGTCCATTCGTTAGTTTAGTTTAGAACCAAGCATCTTCTGTCGCCAAAAACATACTGCGTTTAGCTGTTTATTGTGCTCTTAGTAGGCAAGAACGGCAAACTAATAGGATTGATCATCTTCATAAGACGTACGTTCGCCTCTTCCCGCGCTTCAGCTGACAGTTGTGACGTCATTATAGTCCTTGTCATGATAGTGTGTATTATTGGTTGCCTATGCCAAACTTATAAAAATACCTGCTGAGAAATTTTGAGTTAATTATTTTGTCGATGTTAAATGTGAAAAGGGTGTTTTTAAAGTTTTTAGAGCTATAGAGTGTATAAATACGTTTATTTTGTGTTGTGGATTGTGACAAAGTGCTTACTAAGTGCCGATATTGTTTATTAATTATTTTAAAGAAAAATATGGAAGTACTCTAAAAAGAATGCCTGCAAAAGGTGATGCTGGGAACTGCTGTTCTTAAAAATGCATTATCCGAGTATTTAATACGATTTATACAGTTAATTTTCTATACTGCATACATATAAGGTGTTTAAATAAAAAAACTAAATAATGAATATTTTGCACACGGCAACCAATAATGACACACTATCATGATAAGGACTACAATGACGTCACAAAGAGAGTTTTCGCATGTACCTGGCAGACACTTTCAGCTGAATGAGCAGTCCTATTAGGTTAACTGTTCTTGCTTAGTAGATACATTTAAAAGATAATGTTTCTATGAATAATTAGCAGAAAACAAAATGCTTTGAATATGTTTAAAACAAAAGATATTAAAGCACCTTTTAAATAACACCACAAAGCAAGTCCAAAATAGAATTTGTGTTATTTTTGACCTTATTTTATGCCTTATTTTATCTCTGTTTAAGGTTGAGAAATATTAAGACTGCGCGTATTCCTAGTTGCATACCTTGTAACATTTCTATTGCAAAAATAAACAGGTTTATAAATACACATGTTCTGTATTAGCTTGGTGTTCTGAACTAACTCCATCTAGAATTCTAAAACATGGAAAAATCTTTTGGTCAACGATATGTCAGTCCTCTCTATCATCTTCGGACCGTCTAATGGAGGGAAGTGTTCTCTTTCCACATACTTTACTGTATCACAGCCAAGAATTCACATGGAAAAATATAATTATAAAAACAGAGTTATTTAAAAGCAAACGCGTGCCCGTCCTTTCTCTTACATTAATAATTAATAAAAATAATAATAAAAAAGACGAGAAATAAAGGACGGGCCGCAACACCGACTCCATTTTAGTTTTGACAAATCGCTCTAAATAATCTAAATTTTAGAAACAGCTAAAACTACACCTTTTTTTTCGAACTGCCCAACTAAAAGAGATATCTTCATTTTTGTATTAAAATTAAACACTCTTCAAGTTTAGCATTGTTTTAGGAATTTGTATATAATGACATTTTATTAGAATACACATTGAAGAAACACTATTAGTTTCTGTATACAGGGTGGTTCTCTAACTTCGTATAAATTCAGTAGATCAAAGATATTTTTCGGAAAAATACCCAGATATGTCGATTAGTATTTTGAGATATATTTTTAAATTTCAAGACTAATAAACCTTTATGAGTTTTTTAAAAGGTATATTAAAATAAACAGACGCCAAAAATCTTATTCCTAAATCAATGAAAAATTCTATAACCTCAGATTTAGTGTAGTAAAACTATGTCTCTGTACTATTGCATAGAGTTCTAAAGTATAAAAAGACATTGAGCTACAATTTAGGGTGCACAAAAAAATAATATTTTTTTTAGTTACCGTGAAAATATCGTTCACGTTGATGAGAAAATATTATGGTACAGTTTGAGCTCTTAATATTAATATTATTAAGAGAGGTATCTCATCGAGATTTTCTATTTCCCATTTAAATAACACAGGAAACATTTTTTTTAATTTTATTGCTTTCTAACAAACCAGCTTGTTGTTGTAAACATCAATATATATTCTTGTAGGAAATTGAACTATCTTCAAAAAAGGTCTGATATTATTTTTTATTTAATCGACTCGTTTGAAAGTTATTGAAGGTGTAGCAGATTTAGTTAGTAAAAAGTTATTATCTAAAAAGCTATATTGTCCCTTTCGTACGGCAGGTTTTCATCAATAGACATTACACTAAAACTAACAGCGCCAAGCAAGGTACAAAAAAAACACAGTTGTAGTTAAAAATAAACGACTGTATTGAATCAGGATGATTTCTAATTATTGTAATTAGCGATAATTAATAATTATTGTAATTTTAATGTTTTGGCAAAGAGCACTTGATGAGCTTTAGGAAAAATAGAATATTTTATGTTTTAGAGCCATTATTTCGTGATAAAATATAAAAAAGTCTGGAAGTTATCATATACTTTAATCTTCAATAACTTTCAAACGAGTCGATTAAATGAAAAATCATATCAGACCTTTTTTGAAGACCGTTCAATTTCTTACAAGAATATGTATTGATTTTTACAATACCCTGATTTGTTAGAACGCAAAAATATTCAAAATATCTCCCCGTGATATTCAAATGGAAAATAGAAAATCACGATGCTTAATTTCTCAAGCATTACCAGGTTTTTTTTCATCATTCTGAACGATATTTTTACGGTAATAAAAAAAATCGCTGCGTCCTAGAGCTACATACATAAAAAACCCCAAAGGTTTTTATTAAGATTAACATAAAATGCTTAAATATAATAATTCATGATATATTTTTACAACTTTTATTCGATTATTTGAACACAAAAATATTATATCACGTATTTGCATTTAGGTGTTTAAATCAGTATGTATATTTATTTAGTATTTTTGTAAAAATATGCAATCTCTTTTCATAATTTGTCTGTACATGATTCACATATTATTTATATATGATTTACAGTATCGGACAAAATTAGAGCAACTATAGAAAAATGTGCATTTAGCTGCCATCATTTATTTGAATCGGTTTATTTATTTTTGCAATGGAATGTTTTTTTCAACCAAAACATTTCAATTATTTGTTGACTTAAATGTATTCCTTATCGGTAATTTTTTGCATTTTTTCAAATATGTTGATGAAATTCTTGGACAAAATTAGAGCAACTCGATCTTTACGCAGTGTTGGTTTTCTGAGAGTGTTGATACAAGTAACTATTTTGCTCTGTAGAATGCCTCGGGGTATACATTATTCAATTGACTTGAAACAACGCATCGTTGATGCTTACAAAGGTGGCATGTCGCAGGCAGACATATCAACAAGGTTTTT